TGTCCTTAAACCTGGCGACACCCCTGATGACAAATGTGCACTCATGAGGACCCAGTCCCTGAACTGAGACACAGCTTCATCTTCTCAGTATTATACCCAATACCCTAACCACTACTACTCAGTAGTAGCATTAGCATATGTAGCATCAGTAGCAGCATAAGAAGCTTTAATAGCATTAGAGTTATTAAAGTTAAATATCATTTAATGTAGGAAAGTTACAAAWACTACAACCCGTAGCACCTTTGTCCTGACTGAGCTGAACCGTTTTATTTACCAACAACTAAAAATAGCACAAAAAATGCAGGACAKAGAAAAAAATCAAATATTTTGGAAAGAAAAGAGTGTGAAAGCTAAACCAACTCTCCACATTAACAATCATTAATCTGTAATCATTTTTTCTCTTGTTTATACTCCAGGTTAATCCCAGGTTGCAGGGCAACAAAATAGTTTTCATCCCAACCCAGAGTTTGTTAACACAGACGTGAACTCATCCGTCTCCACGCCCCGGCGACGTCTAGTGCAGCCGACGACCTTAAAAGGAATTAGTGTTCCGTCACTCACTCATCCAGCGGGTCAATAAAACCTGCAGCTGGCTGTGCAGGTTCCCATGAGGAGCTGTTTGCACGAGAACCCTGTTTGATGTGGAGAACACGYCTGCTGCAGGGCGTGGCGCGGGTCTTTGTTGCAATGACACGAGCTGGAAAACTTTCTTCATACTTCAGGTGTTACCAGCTGCTTACATAATGCTGAGACAGCTTTTTATACTTTTATCAGAAATCTTTAAACGTGACTCGTTGAAAAGGAGTGGACTTTTGTTCTTTATCTCCCATATTTAAACTCTCTCTGTTTAAAATGTTGTTTTACTGGTGAAGGAACTTCATTGTGTTTTAATGATGTCTGGATGCTTCTCTGTCAGATGGAAAAAAATGTCTCGCCACAAATATTCCAATTATTGAGTCCTGAAAAACAGAACTTTTTTTTCATTTGATAATAAATATCACAAAACTCTTGATCAATTCCCCATTAATTAATCAAGCAACCCAACTGTCTTTTATCTTTRTTTCTGAAGGCCTTTCAAAGTGTCTCTTTAGACTTTCGGCTGTTTTTTCACTCGCTTTCTGTCGAGTATTTGAACATTTTCAGAGGATTTTGTGGGGAAGTCACTCGGACATAAACTCAACACCAGAGCTGTGCCGATGGATAAAAAACAGATTTTTTAATTTTACTTTGTTTTGAACCGTGTGGCACAGTGGAGCAGTGGGTATAGTGAAGTCACAGGTTCGTCCCTGCCTTGTTCCTTTTTGGGGCGGAGCTTAAATGTTCTTCCCCTGCACCGAAGTACTCTGGGTACTCTGGTTTCTTTCCACAGACTACAAACATGCATGTTTGGTTCGTTAGTAACTCTAAATCACATGTCAAACTCAAGGCCCGCGGGCCAAATGTGGCTCACCACTGCAGTTAATATGGCCCATGAGATCATCAAAGACGTAATAATCCGGGTTGTCAAAGTGTGTCACAGAGACCCACATGAGCATCATTGTAATGAACTTTTTTTACAATAAATTAATAATTATGTTAATTTCATTCAACAATCATGTAAAACAGCAGATTTATACCAGAMAAATATATGATTTATAAGTAACAATGATCTAAACTGTAAAATATTAATAATGATTGGATTAATATTATTATTAATAGTTTTAATGATTTCTACATCGTCAGTCTTTTTTTCTGCTCTGTTGTCAACATGCACAGTGATGGGAAATCCAGAGTCTTGTTAGCCGTTAGCTTCACCAGCCGTTCACACGGTCACCTGGTTTCTGCACACTCCAGTTCTGTAGGACCTCCTTTCCCTGATCTCTGTGCAGCGCCACCTGGTGCTGGAATGTCATAATTTCACTGGTAAAGTTATCAACATGCATCATGGGAGATGTAGTCAATGCTGGCTTTAAAGCAGCTTATTTTTAAAACACTAATACATCTTTGAAGCTCTTGTGGACTACAATATAGGTCTTAGTGGGCCACCTTGACTTTCAGACACGTATAAATGGTTTAAAAGTAGTCGATATACAGCAAAATCCACTGTGTAAAATCTACATTTTGCAGCCTGTAGAGCAGCCAGTTTAAAGTAGGGATTTCCCACTTACAAGTCGTAAATTCAAACTGGAACACCCCTGCAGTGGGAATTCCCTGTGGGAAAGTGGGAGAGTTCAGAATTCAAGATATATAGTATTTCTGTTTATTTATTTCACATTTAGTCAGTCGTACAGGAAGTGCTTTTGAAACACTGTTTCTGTGCAGGAAACACCAGGTAGAGCTCAGTTAGTGTTTGTTAGCCATGTTCAGGAACGCTTCGTGTTTAGCTGAAGTTAAACAGGAAACATTGAAATTAATTACAGCCACGATGCTCATGCTGTCCTTGGTGAAAATGAGTTTGACAACCCTAACCGTCCCCTTGGTGAGACAATGAACGGTTGTCTCTACGTGTCCTGTGATAGACTGAAGACCTGTCCCTCCTCACARTATCTGCTCGATCCTGTTTAATTGATGCTCTTGTGGAATGAAGTGTTCGCTGAAACAAAAGCAATCGAGCTGCACCCACTTCCTGTTTCCTAAGTCAGATGTTTTTTTTTATCTTGTCCTGTCAGGACGGAGAAAATCGACCAGGTGATCAAGCAGTGGGAGGGCTCCTTCTTCAGAGGGAACCCCAAGCTGAGGAAGAAGTCCGTGTCGCTGCGCTTCGACCTGCACATGGCCGCCGCCGACGAAGGCTGTGCTCAGACCAAACAGGACAGCCTCCCCGACGTGGAGGTCCGCCTCATCATGAAGAGGTCCCGCAGCATCTCCACCATCACGGACTGAGTCAGAGCCGGACCTGGACCCGCCSCTCCTGCTTCCAGACATCCTCCGAACTTTTATCATCTCAGCTGAAACCTCCACTCCGGCAGGATGAGTGTCTTAGTTTAAAGTTTGTTTTTTCTTTTCTGCTGCTGGACAGAGATCCTCCTCCTGTAGACGAACAGGAAGAGCTTCTTGTTTCAGTCAGACGTCACTGGAGATTATTTATTATCCAAGGAAGGAGATGATGAAGCTACAGCAGTGAGGTGGTYCTTCATCCTGCTCCTTTTAGGGGTTTCTTCAAGTTCTGCAGATGCCTGTCAGTCAAATCACTGCTGTAGGACTGCAGGTTATTGTCACTTCTTTTGGGATTTTATCAATTGTTGCTTTAATTCTCGTGATCTGATCTTTATCACATCGTTGAGTCCACGTCTAGTTTTTAGTGTTTAGTTCTTGACTTTAGAGCTCTGAGTGAGTGGAAACCTGAATTTGGACATAAATTTATCTTGGTTGTATTTGAGGTTCTGTCCATCCAGATGTTTGGCATTGGGTCGTGGACGTTCGGGATGGAAAGGCGACACACTTCAGATCTTTCTTGGAATCCAAATATCCCAGACCAGAGAGGATAGAGTCTAGAGTTCTGGGACAGAAAAGCTCAAAGTCCAGGAGGCGTGTCAGTCAGATTCCTGAACCATCTCGTGTCAGCGTAGAGGAGCTCACTCTGTAACACACAGAACCGGAGCAACATCTTCATCATTGCAGAGTCCGGTCTGTAGAGTACCAGATATAAAATACAACGTAATAAACTGTCACTAACACATTTTAATTAGTTCACTCAATGTCTGAGTGTAAAATCCTAGTTAAAACATTTCCACTATTTATTAATTATTAACTTACTGTTCTTACATTTTGCTAATTTATACTAAATGTTAAATTTAAATATTATGTCTAAATGTTAAATCCTGAATCTAAATGTAGAAATTAAATCTTAAATGTTGCAGTTAAAGTTTACATTTTAATATTTCAGAATGAAATGCAGCCTTTGATGTTGGTGYGCAGCTTTTGTTGTGACATCATCATCCTGCGACAAAATCAAATGCTAACACTGCTAACRCTGCTGAAGATGGTATTTAAGCTTTCAATTTAAAATGTGTTCACTGAAAACAACATGGATGGTACCAGTGGTCCGGCAATTTGAAATGCAGCTCAGACACCGGCTGCAACTGAGAGGTTGATGTCTTRTAGGGAAGAGTTAGCAGTGTTAGCCGTTGCTTTTGTCGCAGGATGATGACATCACAACAAAAGCTGCGGACCATTCTGAAATATTTCAATGTAAACTTTAACTTTTATCTGCAACATTAAAGATTTAACTTTTACATTTAGATTCAGGATTTAACATTTAAACTTAACATTTAAATTTAACATTTAGTAAAAATAAGTAAAATATAACAGTGAGCTAAATAACAATAAATAGTGGAATTTTTAACTAAGATTTCACACTCAGAAAGTTAGCTGAATAATTCTAATGTGTTTGTGACAGTTTTTAATTTTATTTTATGTTTGGTGCCTCTTATCTCTCAATTTGTCCTGCCGTCACTCATGAACGAGGCTTTGAGAATCTGGACTCTGATTTAAAGTTTGGTGGAGGGAAACCAAGGGTCACCTTAAAGCCATGTCCCAAAATGAAGGAGAACCAGTAAACGGACCCTGGAACCCTGGAGTGGTCCAGKTTCCAGGTCCCAAGTTCTGGGTATCCTCTAAAGAACTCCAGTTGGTGGATCTTCATGCTGTCCGTCTACAGCAGGTTGTTGGGATCAGTTGGAGAGGTTTTTGAGTTCAAACACCAAAACAAACACCTTTAACCAGATTTGTTTTCAAACTTGTTTGTTGTAACTTAGTTGTACTCCTCTGGATGTTACCGTCAGACTTTCTTCTTGAGTTAAACTTTATAAATATCATTTTTGATGRAACAAATGGAGAAATGCATCCAGTCCTGATGAGTGTTTTTGTTCATGCAGTTAAATGAAAATATCCACTGACTCCGGTTCTGCTTCCCTCTGCCTCTCAGAGACTTTAACTTCCCTCCGTTCACCAGAAGAGGGCGCCATGTGTAAATATTTCCCTCCTGAGATAGTTTCTTTTGCAGCTCTGCTCGGTTCTCTGCTTTGCTTCGAGGAAAGGCCTTCACTTTCTGTAACTTTAGAAAGAAGCTTTTATTTACAGTTTTATCATTTCAAATAAAGCAGAAGTCTAAACAAACTGTTTTATCTTTCATCTTTTTATTTTTCATCGTATTATAAAAAATACACACAAGCCAAGTTTACAGACACTCATAAATACATTCAGACAGAAAAAACCTACTAAAGTTCAAACAAAAGTGTTTTATGATGATTTATTTAGTTGTTTTTATTCTTGTTTGACAAGTTTTTTTAATTCCAACAGAAAAAAAAATCTAAATTCCAAATTTCCCTTCATCCTGAGGGTCATTAGGGTCTCACCTCAGAGGTCAGAACTCTTTCCCTTCATCCCGAGGGTCATTAGGGTCTCACCTTAGAGGTCAGAACTCTTTCCCTTCATCCTGAGGGTCATTAGGGTCTCATSTTRGAGGTCAGAACTCTTTCCCTTCATCCTGAGGGTCATTAGGGTCTCATGTTGGAGGTCAGAACTTCATCAGAACTGACTSACTGAGGTCCAGCAGCAATTAATTCATTAATTCATCAGGCTAAGGAGCAAACCCAGCTGATTCCAGCAGAGTTCTGTGTGTTCCGGTCTGGACCGGACTCTGTGGGGCTGAATTAGTGACCTGTGACCCGACAGAAGTGAAAATGGTGACAGGTGAAATGTTTTTTGAAGCCATGTTGGATTATATTTGAGGAGTTTGAGTCATAATTTCCAGTTCATTTCTCTGACTCCTAACCTACAAATGAACCGTGACCTCTGAGGGGTTCCGATCCAGCCCTGGACTGTGTGGACCACCCCAACGGGCTGATGTGGTCTCAGGGTTTTTGTTGGAAGATCATTCGAACCCTTCAGTTTCTGGAAAGATGAAAACAGAACCTCATCTGTTAAAAGTTGGTCTTTGTCTTTTAAAGTAAGCACTTTCTTTCAGRTRCTTTAGTCTGAGATTTTGGTTTGGTCCTGATGCTCCAACAGGTCCGGACTGTAAAGACTTGGTCTGATGAGTCCAGTGTGGTCTGCTCAGATCCCTGACCTCAGCTCTCATCGAGGACCTTTGGGATGACCTGGAATGAGTTGGACCTGCTTCAGCACCTGATCAAAAGCCTACAGACTGGAGTCCCAAAACCTGACAGAAAGCCTTCCAAGAGGCGGAACCAGGTCCACACAGTCCCTGYTGGTGGGTCCAATCCTTTATTCCAGATGGTGTTTCCAACATTAACATCCTTAAAACTGTACAGAACCATGTGGGTTCTTGAAAGAAAAAACATCTCCAAGAAGCAAGAAAATGAAAGTTTTTAAAATAAATAAAACCGCTCAGATCAGCAGGTAAAATAAGATGACCTGTTTGAGAGAGGAAACAGAATACTTTATTTGGTTCTAACATGCTTCCTTCTGACGACAAACCACAAGTTATTTTAACATTAATCTTTAAATATTTTTGTCATCATTTTAAAAGTTAGTTATATGTTTAATAGGTTTTTACAAACATCTAACTTATGCAGCAGTTAGATTAATTTCTTATGACTTTTTTGTGTGAATATTTTACCAGCAGATGGAGACAAACTGCAGAGGAGCTTTCAGAGCTAGGCTTTAGTTAAAGCAGCTTGAATGAACTTCACGGCCTGGCTGCAGGGCTGCAGAGGGTCGTACTCTGCGAACACGTGACACACGTTCTCCGTGCCGGCCTCGGCGCCTTTGGCCACGAAACCAAACATCCTGCAGAGACAAAGACCCGAGAGACCAGATCATGTGGAGCCAAACCCAAACAGAGAAAAAACTTTTCTTAGTTCAGATGCGGCCAGTGGTGGGCACGGCTAACCAAAACATTTCCTTCACTAACCAGTAAGAAGCTTAGCTCTGCTGATGCTAATTTGCTAAACAGATTACAAATTAGTGGAAGCTAATGCTAACCGCTAAGATGCTAAGATGACTGTCAGGACTGAGATAAAAAAAGAATAATAAT